GGGATTCGAACCCACCACCTTAGGTGTACGTGGCTGGCGCCTTAGCCGGTTGAGCTATAGGCGCCAAGCCAGTCTTGAACTCTTGAGCTCAAGCAATCCACCGCCTTGACCTCCCAGAGTGCTAGGATTACGGCATGAGCCACTGTGCCTGGCTGAAATTCTGAAATTTTATAGTAATTGTGCTGGATATTTGGTAAGCCAAATATTCAGTCTCAAGGTATGTGACCTTTAATTCCAGAAATGTTAATTGTATTATTTCTTTAATGATTTTTTCCCTTGTGTTTTCTGTTCATTTTGGAACTCCTATTGGTCACATGTTGGACTTCTGGATTGACTTTCTAATTTTTTAATCATTTCTACTTTCAATCTTGATACCTTTTCCTATCCTGTGAAATTTCCTTGACATGTTATAACATTTCTATATCATTTTTATTTATTTATTTAGAGACAGAGCCTCAAGCTATCACCCTGGGTAGAGTGCTGTGCCATCACAGCTCACAGCAACCTCCAACTCCTGGGCTCAAGTGATTCTCTTGCCTCCGCCTCCCAAGTAGCTGGGACCATAGGTGCCCACGACAACATCCGGCTATTTTTTGGTTGCAGCTGTCATTGTTGTTTGGGGGGCCCAGGCTGGATTTGAACCCGCCAGCTAGGTGTATGTGGTTGGCACCTTAGATGCTGAGCCACAGGCACCGAGCCTCATTTTTATTTTTAACTATCAAAATTTTAATTTATAGGCTCGGTGCCTGTGGCTCAAGTGGCTAAGGCGCCAGCCACGTACACCTGAGCTGGCAGGTTCAAATCCAGCATGGACCCGCCTAACAATGATAGCTGCAACCAAAAAAAAAATAATAATAAAAAAAAAATAGCCAGGTGTTGTCGTGGTGCCTGTAATCCCTGCTACTTGGGAGGCGGAGGCAGGAGACTCGCGTGAGCCCAGGAGTTGGAGGTTGCTGTGAGCTGTGATGCCATAGCACTCTACCCAGGGCAACAGCTTGAGGCTCTATGGCGCAAAAAAAAAAAAAAAAAAAAAAAAATTAATTTATAATAGTTCTTTCTGGTTCTCTAGTTGTTTCTTTTTCATAGTATACTCTTCTTGTTTTATGAGTACAATCTCTTCTAATACTTTTTCTTTTTCTTTTTTTGAGACAGTTGCCCAAGCTAGAGTATCATGACCTCAGCCTAGTTCACAGCAACCTCAACTCTTGGTGGGGGGAGTCAAGCGATCCTCCTGCCTCACATTCCCAAGTAGCTTAGGACTACAGGCATGTGCCACCCCTCCCTGGATAATTTTTTACAAGAAACAAAAGAAACAAAAGTTTTCTTCTGCTACCTGCCTTGTTGCTGCTTCCTGAGTTTTTGTTTGTAGACTTTCTTGGGTATTTTCTTGTTAGTGCTTTTGTCAAATATTTATGACCCTTGGCTGTCCATTCATAGTTAAGCTTAATTGGGGCTTGTTGACTAAGGGCCTTCCTATTAAGGCCTTTTAAGGGGTTCCCCAAAGTCAGTGTCTGAAGGCCTTTCTCTGGACCACTCAGGCCTGGGAACCTGTTCTCCTTCAAGGATGACCATGTAAATTTTGATACTCTGGTTGCTGATGGGGGAAAGGAGGCTAACAGTTCTGTAATTTGGTGTGTATACTTACATTTAATCCCCATTTTAAGCTCCAAGATTAACTTGGTTCTCCACCTATCTGGAATTCCTAAGTCTAAAACCTATCTAGTTCTATTTCTCCAGCGAATAAACTCCGTTCTGCTGGGAGGGTGCTGGCAGGGCTGGATGCTTGGATGTGCAAGGTGGTAGAGGAGCTGTGGGGTCCAGTTTGTTTTCAGCCTTGAAATTGTCCCCTTTCTACTGCCTACCTTAACTTCTTGATTTATCAATTTTCTACATTATCTGGTGACTTCCTCTAATTGAAGCTGTGGGTGAAATCTATTTTATATCCCCCTTAAACTCTTTTAAGCACTGAACCTCTCAGGAGTTCTGCTGGGAAAAATGGCTCACCTCTCAGTGGAATGAATCCCCCTTTGCAGGCCCTTGGTTTCAGTGCTGCATTCTGGCAAGTCTCTTATCGCTGTTGCTCCTTTCCTGTTCTCTTTGACCTTGGAGATTAACATGCTCTTTACTTCTCCACTTTTTTTTTTTTTTTTTAAGACAGAGTGTCAAGCTGTCGCCCTGGGTAGAGTGCCATAGCATCACAGCTCACAGCACCTCCAACTCCTGGGCTCAAGCGAGTCTCCTGCCTCTGCCTCCCAAGTAGCTGGGACTACAGGCGCTCAGCACAATGCCCGGCTATTTTTTGGTTGCAGCCATCATTGTTGTTTGGCAGGCCCAGGCTGGATTCAAACCCGCCAGCTCAGTTGTATGTGGCTGGCGCCTTAGCCACTTGAGCCACAGGCGCCAAGCCTACTTCTCCATTCTAATGGAGACTTCCTTTTATATTACAGGCTGAGCCTCCTCGGAAGAGCAACTGGAGGCAGAAGCATGAATCTTTTATCCGTACCCTCCGTCAGGCTCGAGAGGTCCAGCAGGTAATTGCCAACGGTGGAAAACCCTCAGACTTGCCTCACATCCTGCCTGCAGAAAACCCTGACTACGTTCAGTGTCCTCACTGTAGCCGCCACTTTGCTCCCAAAGTGGCCGAGCGACACATTCCCAAGTGTAAGACCATCAAGAACCGTCCTCCACCTCCAAGGAAGCATTACAGTTGAGCAGACAACAGTGGAAACCTGCTCAGATAACTCAGGCTCTGCTGCTTCTCTTTAGCAGTAAATGGGAGTAGAATTTGATGCAGAGCAGAAAGAAACAAACATTTCACATCTCCCAGATCTGTCTGCAGAGCTAAAATCAGTTGAGAAAGCTATTGCCAAGCAGCAGGAGGAAGGCCCCAGCTTCCCACTAAAACTACAGCCTCGGGCTAATATGCCTAGTTTTGCTGCCTTTAGAATTGATAGGTGAAGACACCCAAAGAGTAGTGAGCAGGCTACAATAAAGCTCTTTTCTCTCAAGCCAGACTTGTGATTTTTGCTAGTTGAGTGTCTGCATTTGCTTGTGCCTTTTGGCCATTGCTGAATGTTTGTGGCTCTTATTAACTCTTCTTGCTCTTGGATGGGCTGGTATCAGAGGAATATGGTCGGTCACCCAGATGGTAACTCTTGTAAGAGATAAGATTTTGCTGTAAGGCATTATTAATGGAAGTCTGTCCTTTGGCCTCCCTGGTGCATGGTTCTGGCCAAAAGCCAAAACAAGTAGGTCAGGTTTAGGCACAGTGCCGCCTACTCCTTCGCATGGTGTACTATGTAATAAAGGAAACATCTTTATGTACTTTACAGGGTAGGGATGGGGGAAAGCACATCACACTTCTACTTGTTTTCTAATGGGTTTCACATGTTAAGAAAAGAAAGCAACTTCAGTTTCAGCTGCTGCTAGCATTCTGCTTTCTTATCAAGTTGGTGAATGACTTAAAATGAGGCAGCAAATCTACAATCAAAGCAAGCGGAGACATTGAAGTGTTACATGTTCATGCCAATTATAGCATAGTCATTGTGTATTTGAGAAAGTAAACTTTGAAGGAAAAAGGACAAAATCTTTTCAATTTTCTGTGTAGAACAGTGCCCAGCATAAGCTAGGCCCTCAATTAATGGGTTTTGGAGACTTACAGTTAAATAAAAGATGGTGACCCTCAGAAATGGGGAGAACTGGCTCAGCGCCTATAGCTCAACCGGCTAAGGCGCCAGCCATGTACACCTAAGGTGGCGGGTTTGAATCCTCAGCCCAGACCCACCAAACAACAATGATGGCTGCAACCAAAAAATAGCCGGGCGTTGTGGCGGGCGCCTGTGGTCCCAGCTACTTGGGAGGCTGAGGCAGGAGACTCGCTTGAGCCCAGGAGTTGGAGGTTGCTGTGAGCTGTAATGCTATGGCACTCTACCCAGGGGGACAGCTTGAGGCTCTGTCTCAAGAAAAAAAAAAAAAAAGAAATGGGGAGAACTAACAAATTAATGTCTGAGAGGGTAATATTAGTTCAGACAGGAAGGAAGCACAACAGCTCTGAAGTCCTGCTTGGATCACCGTCCTGAACAACACTCATATTTATTAGTTTAAAATCCTGGAGAAACTCACCCAGCTTTAGCTGGGCAAAGGAGATAGGAAGACAACAAAACTGTATTTTACTAAGTAACAAATGGCCACTTACTCTTGTTCCAGTTCCTCTGCAGCTTCTGTTGAATGGCTGGGCTAACAGTACAGACCAATTTAAAATATGAGTTTAGGCTTTAGCAGTGAGGCTGCAGGATACTAGGCAAAAAAAAAAAAAAAAAAATGACCTGCTTAAAGACAAGCACTTAAAAGCTTTGCATGTTTTTTAATTGTTCCAGAGGAAAAGAGGTAGGTATCACATAATTTGGGTCCTTTGGTTAGCCCTGTAAGGAAACCACAAGGAGACATTGGATATTTAACCCAATGTCTACATTCCCCAGTCAAGTTTAATGAAGTACATACTTTAAGTAACTCATATTACAATAGACGGCAAGAATAAGTTGTGGCCAAGGTCATAAAGTGGTAGTTTGTGGACTAATCTGCCCTACAGATGTTTTATTGGGCTGGCACAGCATTAAATGTATTATCTGATACTTCAAAATTGGGATATGGACCATCTCTTCAAAAACTGGCAGTTTTGCAAACACTGGACCAGCAACCTGCACAGTACAAGTTGGATGGGGCTCAAAATTAGTTGCTCTATCAGATGGGGATGGAAGTACCACCTGGCTCACTGCCCCATCTACCTTATCTGCCTGGTCCCCTAGGTACTAGTTTGGGATCCCTGGATGTTATTAAGATTGTAGATCAGGCTTTTATAGAACAGATGTTGTGTGGGGGTGCTTTGTATAGACACAAAGAAGCAGTTACTCCTTCTTACCCTGCTAAAGAAATAAAAGTCAATGCCTTAGTGTTTCCTTTGATCTCTCCATGTTCAGATCTTAATTATACTAGGAATAAATCTCCTAATCCTTTAAATTTAGTTTGATCTGGCCTCTGGGAAGAGGTAAGAACCTTTTTCTATTTAAGTCTCTTCCTGGATAGCTCGGAGGATGAAAATGGATAAATAAATGCTGCTTGTTAATGTTACTTGTTAATACTACTTTATCCAAGAACTTTAGTACAAGTAAATGTTATAAATTTTAAAGCTCAAAATGTTAAGCCATGGGAAAAATTTCATGATGAAACTCACATGGAAACTCATTTCATTTAAAAAAGTATATGGACATGCTGAAACAGTATTTCTTTTTCTTTCTTTTTTTTTTTTTTGAGACAGAGTCTCATTCAGTCACCCTAGGGTTGAATGCTGTGGCGTCATAGCTCACAAGCTAATGTTCATAATTTTGTGAGGTTTAATGATCAGCACATTTATTTCCACAGTTAATCACTGAAGCAATAAATGATTTTTGGCTTTGCATCAGGAAAGAACATATTTTATAGTCCTGACTGCAGCCCCTTGCCCTGACACTATCATTAGTAATACTTCTTTGGAGGCCCAGGGATTTCATGTGAATGAACTTATTTTAAATATTCTTGTTCCTGAGTTGTTCTATTACAATTGTTTGTGAATATACTGCAAACTGAAATAAGAGTTTTACTCTGCTTTTACTTTAACCTTTGGTGAAATATGAAGCCAAGAGAGGTTAGAACTTGGCTGTGCTACATGGAGACCGAATGCAGTTCACTATCTGAGGGAAAAGTTGAAAAACAAACTGGCATAATCACTTGGAAGAGCCCCCCACTGAGCCTGAGGAGGTAAGCACAAGAAGGGATCCTTCTTTTAATGGCCAGTTTTTTTCCTCCCTCTGCACTTTCAGTGCTGTCTTTTGTGTGTGTGTGTGTGGGCAGGGGGCATGATTCTGCTGGCAAGAATAAGAAACTGGGAAGAAGCAAAGATTATTTCTGTGTAAATGTCCCTTGTGTTGGTTCTGTTCCAAGAACATTTATTTACTTATATAAAGACTCCCTGAATCAAAGGTTCATGAAAGCCTAGAATCTGGGTGTTTTAACCTCAGAAACTAGGGTCCATGCACAGGCTTACTGAGGCATAGCACTGATGGAGAGTTTAAATGTTTATTTGAAACAGAAATGCCAAACCATTCCACCCTCAAGCACATGGCTAACAATAAGCTAGTTCTTTCACAACAATGTCAGAGCACAGGAGTAACTCAGGTTATACTCTAACTCAAAAGCAATACTACTAGAAAACTTAAAACGCCTAGTACTGCATGAAGAAGAAAAGCAGGACAAAATCTAAAGAGAACTAGCTACAGAAAACCGTTCAAAGGCATTACTACTGCCTCACCTTTCACGTTCTCCACCTCTGAACTGGTTTCTGTTTGTTTGCATAGTTGTTTGGTGGGAAAAAAAATATATGGCTGTCCCAGGCACAATTTGAGAGAGTACAAATTGTCTCAAAGGCACATAACTTGATTCTCAGCCAGATTAATAGCAAATCTAGACTTCCCAAGGGGACATGCCTGAGAAAACGACCACCATTTCCACTGCTAGGGAATGACCCCCTCTGAACAAGAGCAGGGCTCTCACCCACCTTCAGCGTTCCCTTGCACCCTATGGTCTCAGCAGCATGCCCATGTCCCTCAGCTTCACAGTGGAAGCAGTCCTCACACGATGAACACCCAAACTGACCTTGTCTCTCAGGCCTGCTGAGATGGTGAGCATGAGGTTATAGAGACATGACAGGGCAGCCAGTTCTTAAGAAAATCAAAGTTGTACTTAACAAGATGAACCAAACCCCACTTTTAGGGTTTATAGCAAGCCCACAAGTCCCCAGAACTTGTAACTTTAATCCAAGGTCAGCCTCTTCCCTTACTTCAAGAAAAGGCTTCAGTGATTACAGTAGTACTAATGTACTAGGCTTCCCACAATTGAGAAAACAACGGGAACATCAAACCAAAGGTCCCATTGAATAGAGTTGCCCATCCCCACCCATGGGGTTTCCCCCAGCATCAGCCTTTACATCACCAGTTTTATGGAAATGGCAAAATTTCCATGGCATAGGACCTGCCACATGATAAAACAGATATTAAACGTATTTTGGTTTGGGGAAAATGAAATAAAATTTAGCCGTTTGTAGGGAGGCAGGATGTGAGACTCATCAAAGAAGCTTTTATGACTCAAATTACTAAAGAGACATTTTGTAAGGCTAGACGGAAACACAAAGCTCACATTTTTAAGTGAAACTATCAAATACCTGCCCAGAACTTTCTATATGAAATTTTGTTCTTCTGGGATACTATTTCTCTTTGGGAAAGCTAGCTTGTTCCTGTTCTACCAGGACAAAATGAAGATGAGATTAGCAGTGAGCTCTCAGGCGAATTCCTTTCACTCAGCAGGTTCTACCCATTCTGTTAGGCTTCAGGGACCCCCAGGTGCTGGCTTTGGGCCACTCAAGTAGGAAAGATGATATAGATTCACTGGTTACAATATGGCTTCAAAAAACACCAAAAGGGGAAAAATACTGACTAGCATATAGAAAGGGAGTGGCTGGGGTTGCTGATGTCAAGCTTAGAACCTTAAGAGCTATGAAGGTAGAGGCATAAGCCTTCTGGGCAGACTCCAGAGTCCCTCTCAGCCCTCTCTAACTTACCAGGTAGAGGCAGCTAGAAGAGCTCCTCTCCCTCGTGATTTTCTCTTCAGTCCAGTCCTATGGCCCCACAGACATAGTTCTCTGAGACACCTCATCCATTACAGAGGAATCTTCCGAAGCTAGGCAATCCCACCCTGCATCAGCCACATCCTGAAACTCCAGCTGTGTGATGCGGAGGGACCCGCCCTTTCTCCTCACTGAAAAATTTCAACCAACCTGAGGAAAAGCAATCTAAGCCCACTTTTCCTCCTAAAGCATGGAGCTGTATGAAGTAACTGAACTTTCTGGAAACAAGCCCTAGATTGTTTTCACCAGACATACTTTCTCAGATTTAGAGCTCCTGAGGAGGCTCAGACTACTCTGCCACTCTCCAGAGGACACTGGATGGGCCACACCTAGTTCCAGCCCATTCCAGCTTTCCTTCCCCCACCCAGAGGTGCAATGCCTGGTGTTTAATTCTCAGGGCAGCTTCCAATCAATGGTGACAATGATATATGGGATATAAGCTGCTACCAGCGCAATTAAGGTGAGAACTGTGTCTCCCGGTCAAAGGTGGGATCAACAGATAAGGTCCAGAGTGGCTGCTGTGGCAGTCAGTGATGATAGGCCCTGGGGCCCTTTCATTCTTCAAAATAAAATCACTTCTAGAGCCTATCTAATATTAGGCAATGCCGCTCTCCAAACGTACAAGGAAAGTGCTTCAGAGCCTCTGCCTTGTGCTCCTTGTCTGCAAGTGAACAAAGCCAGGAAAGCTGCTCTTTGCATTGGTAAGTGTGCTGTGAAGTTCTTTGGATCCCAGTTTCCTGGGGGCTATACAGGCTCAGGAGACTAGAGGCTGGGTCGACAGGAGTCTGTTCCCAGAAGGCACCAGGAATCTGAATCTATGTCAGGCTTTGGATCCATTTCCATCTCTTCCTTTGCTGTCTGAGTTCCTTTGGAATGCATCCCCACCTGTCCAGATAAAACAGAGTTATATATTAGCAACAATGCCACCTAGTCACAGCAGTTCAGGACTGTATTTTCAATGTCAATGTCGGGAATTGTAGCCACTATCTTGTGAGAAGCTCATAGCAATATTTTAGATAAAGTCTACACCTTTACATTTGCTGCAGGTAAGATGCCCAATTGTCCTGGTTTGTCCTGGACTGCTGGCTTTTCTGGCATGTAAAAGTCTCAGTTTTTAAACTGGAACAGTCCTAGGCAAAACAATCTTCCTGCCTGCCACAGCTGCTAATCTTACGTCAAGTGTATAACTTTCTAAAGTACTTTCATAGGCATTTCCTTTAATCCTCAAAAGAACTATATAGGGTGGGTGGTATTACTTTCTTCTTTTAAGTGAGAAACCAGGCCTCAAACATGTATAGCTGGTAAACAGCAAAGCCAAAGGCTGAACTCTATTTCCCATCCCTAGTTTGCTCTATATAGAGCAATATCATAGCTATTTTTTTTTTTTTTTGAGATAGAGTCTTTGTGGCCCTCGGTAGAGTGCCATGGCATGCCAGCTCACAGCAACCTTGAACTCCTGGGCTTAAGCGATTCTCTGGCCTCAGCCTCCCAAGTAGATGGAACTACAGGTGCCCACCACGACACCTGGCTAGTTTTTCTTTTTTGTTGTTGTCATTGTTGTTTGGCAGGCCCAGGGCAGGTTCGAACCCACCAGCTTTGGTATATGTCGCCAGTGCACTACCCACTGAACTACAGGCACCACCAAGACTATAGCTCTTTAAAAATAATGTAATCAGGCCAGACACAGTGGCTCATGCCTATAACCCTGTTAGTCACTCATGACAAAGCCATGTGGGAGGCTGAGGCAGGAGGATCCTTTGAGCTCAGGAGTTCAAGATTAGTCTCAGCAAAAGCAAGACCCTGCCTCTGCTAAAAATAGAAAAAATTAGCCAGGCCTGCCACACATCTGTAGTCCCAGCTGCTTAGGAGGCTGAGGCAGGGGGATCGCTTGAGCCTAGGAGTTTGAGGTTGATGTGAACTAGGCTGATTCCACCGCCTGGGCAAGAGTGAGTCTGTCTTTAAGAAAAAAAAAAAAAAAGTGAGTAGCATCACCTGTGAAATATTTTCACTAATAATGTTTGACCTGAATCTTGATTAGTCAAACTTCTGGATTTCAGGAAAGACAGGGTGACGGAAGGACAAGTTAGACATTCCCCAAGAAAACAAGACAAATCCAGAATGTGGGATATTCTTTTAAATAACTGTCCTGGTTTCTTCAACAAGTTAATGTCATTAAAAATATTTTTAAAAAGGGTGATGGTGGTAGTGGGGAAAACTGGAATATCAACTGGATACTGGATGAGAATTGAGAATATTAGTGTTAATTTTGTAAGCTGTGATAATAATATTATAGTTGTTCAGGAGAATAAATATCTTTGTTTTTAGAGACATGTAATGAAGTATTATGATTTTTATAATTTACTTTGAAATGGTTCAGCAAAAGTAATAATGCATATATTTATAGCAAGCATACATTTGCAACAACATACAGCAACAAGTAACAACTTTTGAATCTACATGGTAGATACATGAGTGTTCACTGTGCTGTGATGTTTAGTGTTTTTCGTAATAAAAAGAAAAAATAAACAGTAACAAAAAACAATGGAAATTAGGTGATGAAAATGATTCAATCCAGGCGAGTGAATGAGACCCAAAGCTTCTGGGATTAATGACATAAGTGACATCATGAAAAAGCAAGGACTTGCAAGGGAATAAGTCTATTTCAGTACTTAGTGTGTTTGTGATTCTTCAAAATTGACTTACACGTTGGATAATTCCTCTCACCTGCTGTCCTCCTTCTAATTTCTTATTCAGTTTCTGTAGTTGGGTAAAAATTTGGAGGTTTTCTTGCTGTAGCTTCTGTTGTTCAGCCAGACACTTTAATACCAGACCCTGCAATCTCTCGACCTCCACCTGCAGAGAGCTGCATGCACAGGCTGGAGCTGTCAGGGGTACTCCCTTCCCTGCACATGTTACTGGAGGATTCAGCCGAGGTGGCTAAAGAGATAAGAAGAGACTGTAGGAGGTTCTGTCCAGGTGCTATCAACTGCCTGATCCAAACTTCCTCTAGGTACAGTCAGATTTACTTTTAAATTAATAAGATAAAACAGACATACATGTGAATGAATATATGCAAGAGAAACAGAAAAATACTGGAATTGCAATAGCCCCTGGCCTCGATGTAATAGGGCATGAGAAGCCTCAATGCCTCAGTCCCCAAGGTAGAACACTAATCATCTATTCTGGAGGACTTCGTGAAAAAATTTCAAGTACTTTGATATTTCCTCATTTAAAATGCTGAAGTGGGAGCTGGGCATGGGCACATGTCTGTCAACCTAACTACTGGGGAAACTGAAGCAGAAGGATTACTTAAACCAGAAGTTTGAGATTGTAGTGCGTTCTGATTGTGCCACTGTATTCCAGCCTGGTCTACAGATGGAGACCATGTCTCAAAAACAAAACAAACAAAAAGTCCATGTGTGGTAGCTGATATCTCTAATCCTAGTACGTTGGAAGGCCAAGGCAGGAGAATCACTTAAGGCCAGGAGTTCTAGACCAGTCTGAACAACATAGCAAGACCCTGTCTCTACAAAAAATTAATAAAATACAGGGTGGTGCCCGTGGTTTAAAGGAGTAGGGCGCTGGCCCCATATACTGGAGGTGGTGGGTTCCGACCCAGCCCTGGCCCACAACTGCAAATAAATAAATAAACAAATAAATAAAACAAAATAAAATGCTGAAGTGGGAAAAAGCATGATTTTGGTTTGGAGCAAGTCCTTTATAACAGTGAGATGCAGTAATGTATAGTGGCTATATAGCATATCACACTTTAGAAAAGATTAGAGAGATGTCCAGTCAACAGGACTACCAACACAATTCAAGGCGGCTGACAGAGGAATTAAAATATTCACCTTGAATTTTAAAAGGTTTTTTTTTTTTTAATCTCTTCTGGAGAGCTTTTCAATTATCCCAATTTGGATTTTTCTCCCTACTTTCTTTACAGCAAGGGTCAGCAAAAGACAGCCCATGGGCTAACTCTGGCTTGTTTTTATAAAGTTTTATTGGAACACAGGCATACTCACTTACTATTTGAGGCTGTTCTTGTGCTACCATGTCAGAATCAAATAGTTGTAAAAGAGAATGTACCGCCAACAAAGTCTAAATGATTACTATGTGGTGGTACATAGAAAACTTTCTCCATTTATATAAAACTTTTTTTTTTTATGAGACAAGAGTCTCATTATGTGGCCCTGGGTAGAGTGCCGGGGCATCTTAGCTCACAGCAACCTCAAACTCTTGGCTTAAGCTATTCTCTTGCCCCAGCCTCTCAAGGAGCTAGGACTACAGGTGCCCACCACAATGCCTGGCTATTTTTTGTTGCAGTTGTCATTGTTGTTTAGCTGGCCTGGGCCAGTTTCAAACCTGCCAGCCTCGGTGTATGTGACCAGTGCTGTAACCACTATGCTACAGGCACTGAGCCTATAGAAAACTTTTGATGATGCTGGTTTATAGTTTTTGTTGATATTTACAACAATTTCATTTTTGCCAAGGTTAGATGTACATGCTGCTTCCTCATTAGATTACAAGGCATATACTTCTTCTATTTAGAGCTACCAACTCCTGAAGCAGTGTCATGAAAAACTGAATTTGAATTTTGGAATTTCAATTTTGGAAATTCTGAGGAGAAAGAAAAGACTATCCTCTGGTATAGAAAGGTGTCAGCCTGTCAGAAATGTGAAAGGATAAATACCTTTCTGAGGCAACTGAGATTAGTCTTGGGAAGAGGCTTTTAGTGCTACTTAATAGACATCATGAGGAGTTGGTGAAGGGCAGCTAGAGACCAAAAGCTAGAGGAAGAGATAGTAAGGTCAGGAGAACTGGGCAGAGCTTACAGAAACTATTTATACCTAGTTGTGATTCAAAGGCAAAAAGCTCAGTTACCCAGGCTCCCGCTGGGGGCTTGTGTTCTGAGGGAGCTTCAGAGGCCACTTTGAGTCCTTGTAGTTCTTCATAAGGCAGGGTATCTTTCTCAGATTCTGAAAATGCACTTAAGGGAGATGGGCTGTCAGGCATGGGGATGAATTCTGCATTTTCCAGCTCCTATACATATGAGAGAGAACCTTATCAGTTCTGGTTTGCAATAATTTGCAATAATTTGGAATTCTCCCAAATTCTCTTTTCCTGTAGTTTTCACTGTCACGACATTAGCGCCCTCTAGTGAGGCAGAATAGTAGTGGTTAACAACACATCGCACCCTACAGGCATGTAAACTGCCATCCCTTCATCAGAGGAGTAACAGTGATGCAAATTCAAACTTAAATTTAAGGACACAGTCTGGAGTGCCTGATGTATTTCTCCAACACACTTACTCAACACAGGCTTTTCAGAATCAGGAACGTCTAAGGTGATGGCAGTGAGGCTGGCTGCCAGGCTGCTGCAGGCTGAGGCTGAAGGGTGTAGCTAGAATATGTTCAGACTCTTCAAATAACTATTAAGTTTAGTCTTACTAGACGGATTGGGGGGAAGGGGCATAAAAATGTAAAATTTCACAAACTGTAAATATTCACTGGAGAAAATGAGAAAATATGGATGGGTGCAGGAAGCTAGTAAAAAACTACCAGCAATTCCATCACTCACAGATAAAAACTGGTAAAACTATTGATATATATTCTATTGACATACTTTTGTACACTAGATATTTTCTAAAAGAATGAGATCCTACTAACAGATATTTCACCTTCTGCACAGCCAAATATTGTGCCAATTTCCATGAAAATATACTTCAATATTCATATTTCATAAACCATTTTTTGATTGTAAGACATTCCAATTGCCCTGATATTCCATTTCTATAAATGACAGTATAAAATCTGTAAGCTTAATCTTTGCACACATGCACTATAAAAACTGTCTTCAAGGTAGATTATATTAATTTACATTCACTTAAGTAATACAGGTATGAGAACAGGTTGGAAAGAAGAAAAGATTAATGATTTGGTGATTTCTTTCTAGGTAGAAATTAGTAACATGGATTTCTGCTGCAAAACAGTTTCACAGGGCACAGAAAACTAAGGAATCATAATAGCTCCTTTCTAGTCCTTGCTAAGGGTCTGATATTTCATCTGAGGTACCTCTTTCAAAGGAATTACCTTTCGAAGCCAGCCAGGACAGGAGCTGCTGGCCCCACTACTGTTCCCCATGGCCTCAGTGGGATTGATTAAGCCTTCCATTCCTCGGTCTGCTTCCATTGTTCCTCGGAAGCCTCCACTGGGATCGGGAGTTTCAGATTCCTGCTGACTGTCCTCCTCTTCACCACCACCTCCACCTCCAGGGCTAGAGCTCTGAAACACTGATAAATGCAAGGCACAGAAGTAGAGCTTTGCTCTGCAGCAAGGTTTACCATCTGATGGCCCCACTCACCCCAGAAAGCTTCCTAGAATTGCATGAAGTGGAATGGCAATGGTGCAAGTCAGATATTGGGGATTCAATTTTTCTTATACCATAAAGTGTTTGTGAATCAGGATGTTCATAAATATGATTGATTTTCATTTTCCAAACTTGCTTACTTTGTATCCACAGCAGATTATCAATATTCTAGAGTATTAACTGAACCACAACCACAGCTTATCAAATCTATCACCCATGCTTACTCTGCTTCTTAACACACATACAGATTCTAGTATCCCCCATGGACATTCACCTTATATAAAAAGGTCTTTAACTTTCGAGCCAAACACCAATTAAAGCTGCCAGATAAAGTTACCACTAGCTCCCTGTCTAGAGGAAAACCTGAACGGTAAATTAATATTTATGTTAGCGGCCGGGCGTGGTGGCTCAATCCTAGCACTCTGGGAGACCAAGGTGGGTGAATTGACTAAACTTGTGAGTTTGAGACCAGCCTGAACAAAAGTGAACTATTTCCTCTACTAAAAATAGAAAATAGAAAAACTGAAGCAAGAGGCTCTCTTGAGCCCAAGAATTGTGAGGTTACTGTGAGCCTATGATGCCACAGCACTTTACCCAAGGCTACAGCTTGGGACTCTCAAAAACAAATAACAACAACAAAAAAATCCCAAACCCCACATTCTATGTGAACATTAAATTCTTTGATGATCATTTGCATGAATTTTAAAAGTATGATGGCTGGGGGTGGCGCCTATGGCTCAAAGGAGTAGGGCGTCAGCTCCATATACTGGAAGTGGCAGGTTCAAACCCAGCCCCAGTCAAAAAAAACAAAAAAAAAAAAAAAAATTAATCATTTCAAAAATAAGATAAAAAGTAGAAAAACTATTTGGCAACCTCATTTTAAAACTCTAAAAAAATACATCTTAAGCCACTAGAAGATGAATGGGCTTATCTATACAGTCCAAAAAATGAAATG